CTCGCCCGCACCCCCGCCCCGCCCGGCCGGGACGCGCAGCCCCTGCCCGTGGCCTCCCACACTGTCCGCGCCCCAGGTCATGCTCCACAGGGCTGGCAGAAGGAACCGATTCCAGTTCTTTGTGAACGTAAAAGAGCTCTGTTGGATGATGGCAGCGTCTTTCTGAAGCGGGGAAAAGGCCTGTTTTACTTAAGCGTCGAAAAAAGAAAAAAAGAAACCTTGTTTCGCTTTGTGCATTTTATGTAGTGTTTTTAATATTTTCTCGTAAGGGATGTAGGATCTTAAAATGCCTTAAAGAGAGGCATGGTTCAATATATCTTCGTACACCCCCGAACCCACTAAAGGGAGAGGCCTGGCTGGAATATCTTGTTACTGTTGAAGTACAAATAATAGATAATAGCTTCAAGATTTGCTGTTTCTTACAAAATGTCGGAAATCCCCTGCTCGCACCCCGTTATAACCACAACTTTTATTTCTTTTAGAGAAAGGGGAATAACTATAACTGGAAAAACACGGCAAAGAAAGCAGCATGCGATGCTTTATATATACTACTGCTGATGGAAAACCCAAGACAATAGTAAATGCCACCCAGTAAATGCCACCCAGTAAATGCCACCCTTGGAGTGTGAAATCCTAACGCTGGCAGATGGATGTGTGTTACTGCTGTGATGGAGATCGGGAATTCATGGTGGTTTAGTGACTCTTGAGTAAAATCGTGCATGGATTTTCTGTGCATCTTACTTCATTCTAAAAGATGTCCTTGTTAACGAGTTCATTGTTTTAACAATCATTTCGTTGTTGCTGTCTGGTGACTCATCAGTAAGGACTGTTTTAATGTGCTGAATGGACTATGAAGTTCAGTAATAAAAAACGGGTTGTGGAACAGCAAGTTTTCTTTCTGTGATTTCATGCAAAAGCATGTCGAAGCAGAACAGCTGAGACTGTAGAATAGAAACGTTTGGGTTGGAAAGAGCCTTAAAACTCATCTCATTCCAACCCACTTTGATGGGCAGGGATACCTTCCATTAGCCTAGGTTTCTCAGAGCCCCATCCAGCCTGGCCCTGAGGGCTGCCAGGCACGGGGCCGTGCTCGGGGACACGAGGACACAGGGACACGGGGACACGGTGACACGGGGACACGGTGACACAGGGACACGGTGACACAGGGACACGATGACACGGGGACACGGTGACACAGGGACAGGGGGACACGGGGACATTTGTGCAGCGCGGGGAGTTTGTCCCGGGCGGAGCCGCGCCTGCACTGCCCGCTCTG